TTTCTTCGCTTCTTTCGTCTAATTCTGGTGTCTCCCAGGGTAGTCACTTAGATCCACTGCTATTCATAATTTCAATTAACGATGTTGTCTCCACGTTAATGCATAGTGAGGTATTAACATATGCAGATGACATGAAAATTTAAAAAAAAATAAGCTCTGCAAATGATGCGATTTGTCTTTAGGATGATCTTAACTTTTTCTACGAGTGGTGTTCAAGTAATAACCTAAAAATCAATGTAAGTAAATGTGCACAAATGTGCTTACCTAGGCAAAGACGTCCACTTGTTACAAGCTGTTCTTTGAATGGCCAAGCTCTTAGTCGAGTTGATTCAATAATGGACCTGGGTGTTTGCTTCGATAACAAGTTATCATTAATAAACCACTACAATCATATCATATGCAGATCAAGCTCGATGTTAGGTTTCATTAAATACTGGTCAAAAGAGTTTATTGATCCTTTTGTCTTAAAATCGCTCTACACATGCCTAGTCCGTCCCTATCTTGAATATGCTTCGGAAGAATTGTTGAATCTTGAATATGTACATTATCGATATACATATTAATAGGATTAAGTCTTTTAAAAAAAAATTTTTGAGGTTCGCACTGCGCCTTCTTCCTTGGGAAGACCCCATAATTCTACCACCTTGTGAACACTGGCTTAAAATAATTGACTTACCCACACTGGGCAAAAGACCTGATGTTGCGTATTTGTTATTAATTTTTCAGCTTATGAAAACTAACTTAATCTCTCGCGATATTTTAAAAAAAATTGTGATTAACTCTTACTTTAGGTCTCGTTCACCTGATCTTTTCATGGTTCCTTTTCATAGGACCAACTGTGGGAAACATGAACTTTTCAGCAGAATCCTGCGTTTATGCAACAAACACAAACACAGACTTGACTTTTCCCTGAAGAAAGACACGATGAAAAAACTTCTATTTACTTATAGTTAAGTATAAACCTTTTTTTATTTCAATTCTTGTTTTAGTTTTTCATTGTTTATATTCATATTTATTGAGTATTAATAGTAATAAGTTTGGTTCTGTATAATTTTTAAATTTAATTTTAAGTCAAAAATATGTTCTGTCTAAAAATTTGTATATAATATATATTATGCATTCTATAATTTTAAGTTATGTAAAATGTTGGAGCTAAATATAAACAAATAAATAAATAGATGCTCTTATAAAAAGTATAAACTCAAATAATTGCTATTAATTTTGCTTTTTATTAATTTAAGATGCTCTTGTTGTCAAATATTAAAAATTTTTGATATAAAAGTCATTCTAGATAGCAGCTGACATTTTTAAAAACCTTTATTTTGCTAAAAAAAATTAAGGTATATTAGCATTAATTCACCACATATTTTCGTCGGATGGTACTATATCTTATGGTTCGAGGACCTTTCAAAAAGTCAATCCTCTTAAGATTTAATACCCAAAATAAATCATAAAAAAGAAACAAGAATAGAACAAGAATGAAGTGCCTTATCAAGAATTTTATTATATGTATATGGTTGTGTGTCTCCAATCTGGCTGAAACGATTGCTTGCAATTATAAAATATTTCAAGAAAAGGCAAGTGGTTATGGCGCCGGACTTTTAACCGAAAGGTCTTGGGTTCAAACCCTGACCAGGCCACTGCAAAAATTATATTCAATATTTTTTAGGTTAAACTTATAAAATAAAAAATTGATATAAAAGTGATTTTCATATATCCATAATATTCGATATTGAACGCAACAAATAAATAATAAATATGAAAAATCATAAGCATTTAATATAATTAAAAAACACGGAGGCTAGTCACGTACATTGTAGATTGTAGATTTTAAGGGAACCGAGTGGAAAAGGAGTAACCCCCCATTCTTGACTTATTGTAGCCTCTCCACGCCCACATTTATAGTATCCCCGTCCCAACCACAAAGCCGGAGATATCCCTAAGGGAGTGGGACAACCTTTCACGAACACTTAGGGACCCATGTCAATTGCGGCGCCGAACAGCCAGTGCCGGACAGTCGCATAGAATGAGCACGGCCTTCTCATCGCCACCCCCACAAAATTTGCACAAGGGGTAGCCTGACTCCCCAGCCTATGCAGATGGTACATCACTGGGCAATAGTGCGAACCCGGCTCCTACTCATTCCCAGCAACGCCGAAAGAAACACTTTCGCATGACGGCACCCTTTCGTGTCCCGCCAGTGACGGTAACATTCCGCCGCGAGCAGGCAGACAAGCCTGGCCCCCACGGCGGAAAAAGGTAGACCGCAAAAAGGCAGCGGTTGCATAAATTCAGCCCCAGTTCTCCTCCGCATCAGCCCATCGGCAACTTCGTTGCCCGCACGGCCACTGTGGCCCGGCACCCAAATGAGCATCACTCTGTTCTCCGATGCCAATACCATAAGTGCAGCAAGGCAGCTCCAGACCAGCTTGGATGTAACCTGAGCTGAACGAAGCACCAGCAGTGCAGCCCTGCTGTCCGAGAACATATAGATGGTGCGGTTTCTATACCCCCCTTCTAAATTGATTCTCAGACAGATCTCTATCGCATTTGTTTCGGCATGGAACACCGTGCAATACGGGTCAAGGGTTACATATATAAGCGTGTCCGGGCGGACACCGTATACACCCGAACCCACACCCGACTGCGATTTGGATCCGTCCGCGTACCACACGCTCGAACCCGACTCAAGTACCGGGCCATCCCGATCCCACGTCCATCGATCGGGAAACAGAACCCTGTACTTGTGGTCAAAGTTGTACCGCGGCAGACAGGAATCCGATATGGTTATTCTTAGAATCGGATCGCTCTCAATGAAGTCTCTGTGAGTTCTGTGGGCCAACTTTAGCCCTGCCCTGTCTTCGCCAGAGAGAAGTCGGTAAGTCACTAGCCGAGCTTCCTTCAATATATGGAGGTGCAGTGGCGACAACCCGATCATCACCTCCAATGCAGCGGTAGGAGCCGTCCAGCTTGGCCCGCACACCCGCCTGCTATTACGGCACCATACAATCAACGCATAGGTGACGATGGGTCTAGCAAGGGCCGTATATAGCCACAGTGCTATTCTGGGACTGATTCCCCAGGTCCCCCCGATGAAGCTCCTACACGTCCACAGGGCCGCCGTAGCCCTCTCGATAACTCTATCTATATGGGTATTTCAGGGGAGGCGATCATCCAGAGTTACCCCAGATACTTCACCTCCCTAGAATAAATAATACGTTCATCAAACAGAATTAGGCTCGTTAATCTATCCCTGCTTCTGCGTCCGGTGAAGGCGAACAAAGTACTCTTACTTAAATTCATATTTAACCCAACGCCTTCGCACCACCTCTCCACAACACTTAAATTTTGCTGTAGAAGATCAGAAATAGTGTTCACGTGTTCCACGAGTAAGACATTATTGCTTCTCATTGCCGCCTTTTTACGCATCTTGGTGGGCGCCTGCCCTGCCACAGCCTCTTTTGCCGTCCTAGGTGCCACACTAGCCCCACCAGCAGCAAATACCGAAACAGTTCCGGGCTTCCAAATGGACTTCGACCCGGGATGCTTGTATTTGGCACGCTGGTCGATGGTCCTTCCGTTTCCCTTGCCGCCATTTTTGGAGCGACTTCAGACTTTGCATGAGTTTTGACCCTTTTGGTTGGCCTGAAATGCTCGTCGTTGTCGCGGTGGGTATTGGTTTTTTATTTTGTCCGGCACTGCCGCCAGCACCTTGAGAGGATTTTCTTCCTTTAACCCGATCGGTAACACAGAAGAAGTTTAGGAAAAGTCGGAACTCCGCTTTTCGTAGATCTTCCAATCCGGAATCATCCACGGAAAAGGTAATGGAGCAACCCCCTTCCTTTTCCTTATTCATCCTCAGCACCCTCCAGGAACTTTATAATTATTCTTTATATCTTTTATTTTTGATTATTTCAATCAGATTTTCAATTTTAAATTTTCATGTATGTAATTCACTAAAAGTTTTAAAATTTTTCAAATTGGATTTGTCAAAATAAACTTGTTTTATGCTCTTTCTCTCTAAGAAACGCCTCTTTTAAATACTGAAAAATGTAACAAAAAGTTTAATTTATTTGCTTCTTTCTAATTTCTATTATTTATTTATTAAAAATGAGCGTATAGGAACTTAAATTAAAAAATTTAATAAAAATGAGCGAATAAGAATTATTATCGTGGAAATTTCGTAGTTATATAAGGCTGTAAAGTCCGAATTGAAAGCAACGCAATATTAATATACAACCTCATAGTTATAATTTTGTTTACACCGTTCCACAAAGCTATTTCGACCTGGAGGCTCATTATTTAATATCTAATCGGAGCAATTAATATCGAATTGTGGAACAAACTCGTCAGTTCAAACTCGTTTAGCCATCCATCTTAAAATCAATTTTCACTCACATATGCAAAGCAGCTGAGTTGCATGATCTGCAGACCGCATTTCATTTTGACTTTGTTGATGGCGGGGGGCAATTTCATTTGGTTCGAGAGAAAATTTTCTGCTTCGCATAGAAGGCAATTGGTGTTGCGTGGAACTCATTGTGTTCAGAAAATTGTATATATGGGTTTGGCAAAGCAGAACTGATAGCTTTCGTTTGGAAGAAGTCTTAGTATGTAAAATTGCAATAGAATTTTTTTATTCGTTATGTTTAAAAACATCTTTTGAAAATTTTCCGAAAACAAATTTTAGGTGTAAGTGATAAAATGTAGATACTTTCACCATTTATAATATTAAAAATTACTTTTGCATATCGGCCATTTCATTTTCTTTGTGTATATTTTATTTTGATTTTTACTGATAACTCCATATGTTCGAGTTATAAAGAATACAAAAATTTTTATGCTATTTATATGAAATCATGTTTCTTAGTATGCGATTAATTTGTTGAAACTCGTGTGCTGTAAAAGTCTTATTTAGCAAGCTAAAGTAAAAGAAACTATAATTTACAAAAGATATCAAATGTTTAACTTGTATAATAACTATTAAATTAAAAACTATTTACCATAAATTTTGAATGCATAAAAAACTTTTATGTCACGAGGTGTTTGTTCGCTGAAAATTGATAAGAAATCCAAAAATTCCTCGAAAGATAAATGTCCAAGACCATCTCGTGAAAATGCTTGACATATACGAGATTTAAAAGGATTTTCCTTTAACTCTGGCATTTTTTCAATGAAGCTTCGTGGAACTCTTACGTTACACACTTGATTATCCGTCATTTGCCTTGGTATTAAATCTGGACGCAACTCCCGGAAACGTTTGTAAACCCTTAACACAATATAAAAAAAGACAATGTAATAAAAGAAAATTCATGTCCATAAATTTATATAAAGGTGCGCAAAAGTATTATAAGAAAAAATCAGAATTGTTGGAAACACAAATAATTGCACAAATAATTGTTGGAAAGAGTTGTAGATACATAGCTCTCAAATATTTAAAGTAAAATCCAATTTTATTACTTCTGAAAAAGTTTCCATTATTTGGACTTTTTATTAGCTTCTAAAAAACTTTCTAGTGAACTCTGAAATAAGAACAAAAAATTAAATAAATCGTAAACGTAGAAGTATAATATATGATGCATTAGAATCATCTAATAATTTGTTAAGGAGTCGAAATACTAAAAAAAGTATTAAAATTGATAAAGATTCCGGGGTTTGATATAATAATATAAATTCTTTTAATCCCTTGCAAATTCTAGCTAAAACAGATTGAGTTACAAATAAAAAACTCACCCTATTGCGCTTATAAAAAGTAATACGAATTTCCTACATAATTTTATGAAAGAACATAAAATCCAAGATTATTACATCAAAGTGATTTACATCTCATTTTATACATAATTTATTTCGCAAATAAGACAATAAAAATTAACACACTTCGAAGTGAGTACAAATATATTTTTGACTATAAAGTTCGTTGGGAGTATAAAGTTAATAGCTCCAATAATTAACGCAATGTCACAATTGCCAAATGTTTGGCTATAGGGTAAAAAATTGTGCCTATTGCGCTGATGAACACATGACAGATTTATGCCCAAAAACTAGTTCACAAAAATGTGCTGGTTGTAAAATAGATCACCATTCAACTGACGTCTAATGTCCAAACCGTGCTATATACATTAGTATATTAAATAGACAAATACGAGTTCCTTCTTGAAATACAGGGCGCCAAAGTATCAATACAAAAGTTAAGTTTTCAAATACACTAGAATCAAAAGTTTAGAAAACTTTGGAAATCTTTGGAAAATTTTAACAGTATAAATACAAGTACTAATATCACTAACAGAAATAATAATAGTTTGTGTAAGAGTACTAATTTAAATTTCGATACTGATAATAAATTATTTACTTTAGATGAAATTAACAAAATTACACTTGAATATATTTCCAAGCTAAACCAATGTGTTAACCAAAATCAACAATTTTGTGTTATCAACGAGATGGTAGTAAAGTATGTTAAAAATAAAATGATTAAAACAAACGAAATTAAAGTTCTATTACATCTCAGCAACATTTTTATGTATACCAATTTTAATTTTAGTTTATTGATGGTAAATTATCATAAAGTACGCCTGAGAAGTAAAAGTTATTATTCTTATTTTGATAACAAAAATTTGTTGTTGGAGTTATATTTTAATACAATATAATATAACGAAAATGATTTATATTCTAATATTAATATATCTGCACATATAAGTTATCGCAACGTAAATTATTTTTCATAAATTTTATTACCAAAAATTCCTTATTCAACAAAATATTTTTCCCACAAATAATATCAAAACATTCAATAAAATAGCCGACAAAATTATTCCCTCAAAATTTAGAAAAAAAACCTATTAGAAAAAAATGTATTATTTAAAATAAAAATAATAAATATACCGAAAATTTGAAAAATATATTACTTATATTTGTTGAAAAATAAATCACTTAATTTCAAAAGTAAATTTCTTAATTTTTGAGAATTAAATTATTTAAATTTTCGAAAAAATTTAAAGTACACTTAAGTCTACAACGTAAGTGTGCCAAAAATACATTTAACTAATAAATTACCAAAGTTTGAAATTTAAAAAAAAAAATTTCAAAAATTTTTACTCTAAATTTTTTTTGCAACGCAATTTTGATAAATTGAATATTTACCAGAAATTTGCAATAAAATACACGTATCCACAAAAAAAATCAAGAAAAAAACATTTTTTTTAATTATATCAGAATTTAAGGAAAGAGTAAAGTAAGGAAAGGTAAATTCTTAAATTTATATTAAATAAAAAAAAAATACAATACAAAAATGATGTTTAACAATTTAATAACTTAAATTGATATTTTTCAGAATTAAATTGATTTAGAATAGAAAACAAAAGGCTTATTAGGCAAAACAAAATAACTTTAAATGGTGAAAAAGAAATATTAATTTTTCACTCTTCCGATTTTCACACAACTTAAATTTTTGGTATCAATAAATTCATATAGCATTCGTTACAATTACATTTAATCAGTTCGCGAACTAGTTAATAAGTACAATGACAGAACAAACACCCGAAACTAGTTCACTCATAAGACCGTCTAGGTTGAGTAATAGCAACAAAGCAGATCAAGAAACATTCGTTTCAAATATGATCCAACGTACATTTCGTACACGGGAACCTCAAATAGTAAACAATATATTTAACATGGCGCCACATACAATAACATGAAAAGTTAGTAGTTCATGCAAAAGTTCATTTAAAAGACAAACAAAAAAAGTTCTTTGTGATGGGACATGCAAATATACTGAAGAATACAAAAAATATGTAGAATCAGACAACATATTCTGGTAAGTATCAGCTCATCCGAATTAAGTATACCTTCCAGCAGTAAAATTTCTACTATTCCCAAATTAAAATCTCCAGATATTTCCTTACATGCAAAAATTAATCTCAAACTGAAACGACTCCACAGATTTGATGAATATTTTAAAGAGATGTCTGAGAAGTTTAAAAAAGTCAACGATATTGTTGACTAATAATAGAAGAAATTATACAAACTTGAGAAGTAAAAATGAGATTTCAAGCAAGAAAGTGAAAATAAATGCCTACGAAATCGAAAGTCTTAAAGAAACAAAAAGAATTTAAACGAGAAAGAAATAGAGTTGACCTTGTCAACTCTGTGATACCCGTACGAATTTGTTATCATATGTGCGAGTAACTAATGTGCCATAACTAACTATGGGGCAGACTATGACTTTAAGTTGCCGTATTACCATATTAATTTATGCAAAATTTCACTGCTGTGTTTTCAAAATACTGTGTGTGGCAAACTGCTATTGAAGTTGTATGGCAGCTACCAGAAAGAGCCAAGCAATTTTAACAAATTTTATCAAGCACATCGGCCTTACTAATATACTCACTTGTGTGAAATCTCAATATCACAGCTTTTATAGTTTCTGAGATATAGCCAAATAACTTTTGAAGTTGCATGGCAGGTACCAGAAGGAGCCAAGTAATTTCAACGACTTTTATGAGACACATTGGCCCTACTAATAAATTCGTTTGTGTGAAATTTCAATACCATAGCTTTAGTAGTTTCTGAAATATAGTCAAATAACTTTTGAAGTTGTATGGCAGGTACCAGAAGGAGCCAAGTAATTTCGACGACTTTTACCAGATACATCGGCCCTACTAATATATTCACTTGTGTGAAATCTCAATATCACAGCTTTTATAGTTTCTGAGATATAGCCAAATAACTTTTGAAGTTGTATGACAGGTACCAGAAGGAGCCAAGTAATTTCAACGACTTTTCTGGGGCATATTGGCCCTACTAATATATTCGTTTGTGTGAAATTTCAATACCATAACTTTTATAGTTTCTGAGATATAGCCAAATAAATTTTGAAGTTGTATGGCAGCGACCCGAACCGGTACCCCGATCATGTCCAATTTAAATAGGGTTCTGGCACTTACTACAATAAATCATTTGTGAAAATTTGGTGAACTTAGCTCAATTAATTTTTGAGTTATCGTTCGGACGGACGGACGGACGGACGGACGGACAGACAAAGCTAAATCAACTCAGAATTTGACGCTGATCAAAAACATACACTTGAGTCTATATCTAAGACCGTTATTTCTTAGCGTTACAAACGGTAAGGCAAATTTAGTATACCCTTCGAACATACGTTCGTACGGGTATAAAAACTATATAACAGAAAATGTTGACAATGCTATGAATGTAAGCAATTCAATTTTGAACATATTAGATATTAATATAGAAAAATCTGCAATGTATATTGTCCAGATTAGTAAAAGCATTCAAAAAGATTATGAAAATGGGTTTAAACACTTCTCTACAATTAGACACTTATAAGCTTTTAGTTAACATACGTAGAAAAATGTAAATTTGGCTCTTAGTAGAGTTTCATTTTGGGCTTTCCGAATCATACGAAAAGTTCAACAGAAACTTCTGGTAACAGCCACAACTCATATTAAATTTCAAGAAATTCCATCAATCCCGCAGATATGGTAAAAAAAGGCAAAATCGGCCTTTAGCTCAATTTTCGAGCGCTGATCTTTCCAAGAAAATTAGGGATTCATTGTTTTACTACCTCTAATTCAAATACTACATTTCAATGAAATCGGTTGATTATTTCCCTTTATATACGCAAAAATGTATATTCGGCCCACAGTAAATCTCCAGTTGCCGACACCTGATTTCTTCCAAAAGTTAGGAAGTTTCGCGTACGGTCGAATGTAGCATATATCGATGGCGAATAAATATGCACAATTTTAAATTTGTTACTTAGCATATCTGTGCGCTTCACCATCGATATATGAAATTTTAAGTAAATCTGTTGAATATTTTCTTCAGAATGATCAAAAATGTAAAACAGGCCTGCTGAAAATTCCGGTTCGCGGTCTGATATATTCCAAGGTCTGATATTATTGAATAATCCGTGCAATAGTCGAAATAAACTTATTAATATAAAATTTCATGAAAATCGGTTCAGTCTAACTTGAGATACACGTGTTCACACACAGACACTGGAGAAAATTAAGTTCTAACCATTAAATTTAAGAAATACGAAATTAAAAGAAAACAATAAATATAGAGTTAACCGTGTCAACTCTGTAGTACCTGTACGAATTTGTTATCCTATGTGCGAATAAATATGCCATAGCTGACTATGGGACAGACTATGACTTTAAGTTACCGTATTACCATATTAATTTATGCAAAATTTGAGTACTGTGTTAATTAATATGTTATTGATTAATATGGTATTAATATGGTATTGATGG